AATAATTTTTAACCTCAATTCATTAATTTTTCGGGTTTTTTTTTTCTGTTCAGTCACTATTAAAAAAATTAATGAATGGAAAAAATATTCAAATGTCTGCAATTTTAAAATAAATTGCAAAAATATTAAATGACAAAAATTATCTAGGAAAAAAAAATGTTTAAATGAATATACTTGTACATGCATAATATGGAAGCTAGTATATATAGCTAAGGTGTTATAGCATTTTTTTGAAATCAAATTTAAATAAACTGAGAAGGCAGAAAAAATAACAAGAAAAAAAGCAAATTTAAATTTTAATTAAGAGAAAATTAACAATTTAGCTGTTTTTTTTTCGAATTAATGAGTTGCTGCATTTTTAATTTATTATAACTCCTTGTATATACTGCAATTTTGTGGCAGGGGTTATTCAAAACTATAGAATTTTCGTTATCCCCACACTGTTTTTGCTCAAATTTTTTTCCTTATAGTTATGAAGCTATTTTTATTATTTTTTTTTTTTTTAACACCATAACATTTTATATTTTTTCTATTCCTACAGTCTTACGAATATAAAGGGTAAAATTTAAATTTTAATTATGAAACAAAAGTCATTATTAAAATTTAAAAAATTTAAAAGGATATTAAATTTAATATACAAAATGTGCATATTCAGGATATGTAAAGAAATTTTTGAATATTTATAAAAAATGATAGTGCCAGAAATGGAAAAATATATACAAATAATTAATATATAGGATGAAATAGTAAGTTAACTGTAACTGAATTAGTAAGTTAACTGTAATTTATCTTTATGCAACAGAAAAAATTCCAGTATGGCCAGTATATAGACAGTATTGTGGCATGAGCGCTGTGAAAATCCTCTTCGTACGCATATCTCTAATTTCAATTATTATTAAAAATTTAATTTTCACAACTAGATTTCAACAGAAAGTTCATTCTTTCATTGTATTGGAAAGAATATAAAATTATTTCAATTTTTATTAAACAATTGCCACCAATAAATTTTAGATTGTTAAAACCTGTTCAAATTGCTAAAGTTCATAATATTATCCGATAACTAAATTTGCAATAATCATTTCTGTGTTTTTGGGAAAAATTAATAAAATTAGTATAAATGTTGTTATTATTTTGTACGGAATTCAAAATAAAAGTTTCCATTAAAATTGGTTCAGTTGAAATTCAAATGCATAAAAATGTAACCTGAAATAGATAACGGGACATATCGATATTAAATGGACCGACAGTCACACCACTAATATCTTAATAAAAGAAATTTCCATCAATTAAATAATTTCGACGTACTAGAAACAACACTTTTCATATTGTTGAAATACAGTTGAGGCAATTTAACAGAAAACGATTGTGACTGGGCATTGTTCTTATATCTATACATTTATGTACATATTTTTGAATTGACCGAAAGGAGAAAGTTTTAAAAATTTCTATTAGCAATTTTATTTAATTTTTTTGTAGTTATAATTTTTCTACATTCGCCCAATTCTAATATACTTTTATATATATATATCACATATAATATATTAAAATACGGTTTATAATATGCATTTAAATTATTCATAAACATATAGTGTAGGTTTATATATTATATAGACTTTTGTATATTTGTATATTAATTTATTAAAATAGTATAATAATATTTATGCAACAAAAGCTATTATAAAGTTTTCTCAAAAAGTTTGGATTACCCGTCTTATCGTTTAAAGTTTATTTATAAACGATATAGAATTTTTATCTCTCTTTATATATGCATAAATATTTGTACGTATACGTGTAAAATATCCTTTAATTATATTGTTCTCTAACTCTATAAGTGTGTATACTTTTATCTCTTTCTATATCGGATCACTTTATATTTATATAGCCGTGTTTTCTATACAATTTTTTTTTTTTTAATTTTTTATTATTTTTCATGTTATTTTCATTGTTATTTTCTATATTCTGTCTAAGTTTTCTATCTATATCATGCTCTTTAAATTTTTTTTTTTTTTATATTTTCACTCATTTTCTGTGATAATTTTGTTAATGGGAAAAATATTGCAAAAGTTTTAAGGCATATTAAGGGCATATTAAACAAAACTTTTTTTTTTTTATTTCACTTTTTCGTTTCAATTTTTTTTTTTTTTTTTTTGTGTGATTTTGGTGCTGCCCGTTTTATATAATTTAAATTTTTTTTTGATTGTTTTTATTTATTTTTTGTTGTAACTTGTCTATTTTCATAAATTTTCTCTCTAACTCGCTATGGTTTTAATATTTTCGTTTTCTATCCAGCTTTGTTGTTCATAGCACTTTTCCAAAAAAATATTTGAAAAAAAAAATGTATATTCGTCCATCCTTCCGCCCTTCCACTCGCCCGTGGACATTCCGCCACAGCATAATTGAATTTTAAATAACAAAATGGCTGCTAATATTAACCGTTGTCTAAAAGCTTGTTTTTTTTTTTAAATTTTTGTTTAAATTTTTTCTTCAATATCCTAATTTTTAAGAGACTAAAATTTTATAAGCTTTTAGATATTAATGAATAGTTTGTTTCGTTAGAAGAAAATTTTTTTTCCACCTCTCAAAATATCGCCTCACGGAATATGTAAAAGTTAAATTTTTGGCACTTTAGTTATTGCCGAAACTACAAGCTTGTCCAAATTTATATTAATGCAGAAAGCTAGGAGTAAAAAATTCGAACGTCTCTTGTTCTTCGTGCATTTTGTTAACGTCTCTTTCAATACTTTTTGTTTTATTTTAAAGATTGCATACAATACTCATCCTAAAGGTATGCAATTTTTTAAATATTTTTGTACATGAATGAAAGTAATTTTATAACGTAGTGCATAGCTAGATTGTTTGTATAATAGACGTCTTTTGACTGGTTAAAAGGAAGGAAAAGTGCTACTGTTCAAACCATTGGTTTCACCCAACTTTATTCGTTTTTGGTTGTCCTTCTTATACTCTTACAACTATGTATGTACAACCATAATACAAACATAAATTATTTTAAAAATAACCTCATGTTTTTTTTGCTTTTCGTAAAAAAATTTCACTAAATTTAATGGAATTGAGGCTATCTTTTGTCTCTTTCTGTTAATTTTAATATTTTTTGGATTTTGTAATTTTTTATTTTCTTTGGTTTTTTTTTTCCTTTGAATTTCGGTATCCTATATAATTTAAATAATATTTTTGCATAATGATTTATGACTAAAACTAATCATATTTTTTGATGGTAAAAAATTATGAAATTTTTTATTTGGTTTTTTTTTTTCTGGTTTTAATTCTTTTGTTTCGTGTTTTTTGTTTCTTTTTTTTTTCTTAATTTTCCTTTTTTTTTTTTGTTAAAAAATTCCAGTGGTTATTGGTTTGTGTCATCTGGTTTTTATATCTTTTTAATTTAAAATTAAATATATACACGCAGATTGATAGTCCTTTGTGCTTGTAATCGATGATAATGAATAATTTTCCCTTTTATTAAAAAAATAAGAAAAAAAGAATACTCGTAAACAAAATAAAAATCAAGTCATTGTGAAAATTACATTTTAGTTATTTTTGATAATAATCTTGTGTCCAAATTTAATATTTTACTGTTTTTATGTAATGTTGAACAACTAACTGTAGAAGAAAATTTGTTTAAAAATTTTAACAAAAAACATTGAGAAGGGAAATCATTAGTGATCTATAAAAAAAATACCAAAATCTTAATAATACAAATTAAATTTTAATTTAAAGAAATTACTTGTCATCTTTTACCAATTTTGTTCTTATTTTTGTGAATTATATTCAATCCTTTTAAGGAAATTAGTTTTAACATAATATTGTATAATGTAATTTAAAAGAATATATTAAAAAAGTATTCATTATGGTAACATGTTTGATAATTACGTAACAGTAAATGGTTAGAGCAATAAAAATTAACAGAACAGAAATTTAACAGTAATTTGTTAGAGGTTTTTTTTTCGTTCATACAAAAATACTATTTTTAATAATATGATTAATTGGTTGTACAAGTAAAAACCGATGGAAAGTCAAATTTCGTGGCTCTTAAATCTAAATTCTTTTAAAAATTATATTGATATTATAAAAATTATACATGATTGCCAATTTTTACAACCAAATTTTCGATCAATAAACCTCAATTATTTCCAAAAGTATTCGGAAAAAATTTAAAAAATTTAAATTAACTTTTTTTTTAATTAAATCTAAAAAATGGACTTGATTTACTGGAAACACATATATTTTTTTACCATACCCGTACCATTGTTATAGACCAGTATATACCCGTACTGTTGTTATAATTCGAAAAGAAAAAACTAAAAAAGCATTTAAAGTTGGTGTCGTCACTTGATTTAAAAATAACATTATAACTTTTTTTTTCTACTTTTTGACCTAAATTTTTAATTTCTACAAAATGGGCAAATTATGCTTAATGAAAAATATTCATTATTTTTATCATCCTTATTTTATTGAAAATAATGAGGTTAAAATTTATTTAATATTCAGAAATTTATAATATTGGTTTTAAAATATTTTAATTGATTCTTTGTATATTAAATTTTGTTTTTTTTTTTCAAATAAAAAATAATTATTTAAAAATATGCTTAGATTAATTATTTCTGAACAAAATCATAAATATTTATAAATTATTCAATGAACTATAATATATTTGAATATTTAATGAGCCGATAATACTATATATGTATGTATTTATTTTTTGAAAAAATTTTTGATTACAATGAGTAAAATTAATGTTATAGGAAGTGACAATATGAAGACCCGGCGACATTGTTATAAAAATCGATCTGCTCTAATTGCATACTTTGTTGAGAATGTCAACATAATTTAATATAAGTAATATAAAATCAATTTTAAAAATAGTATTCAACAGAAGATGAAAAATTTAAAATATTCTCTATTATATATGTATATAATTACAAATTTTCTAAATAACAAGAATAATATTATTGAATATTATATTTTTATTTATTTTCTATTTTTAGGTGACGCCGCTACAATGACGACGATCCGTTAGCGGCATTGACTATGGGACCAGAGGCATGGGCGTGTGTGCGGACCCTGGGTCTTACCGGTGGTGTCAGGCATTAAGCCGGTCGCGATCGTTCGCCACAAGAACAATATTTTCAAAAAGTTGTTATAATATTAATAATAGTTGTAATAATAATAAAAATAATAATAGTAATAATTATAACAATAATAATATAAATAATAGAATTAATAATAATAATAATAATAGTATAAATATAAATAATAGTAATAATAAAAAAGAAAAAATTAAATCAAATAATACAACAACAATTGTAGATAAATCACATACAATAGATTATAAAGCACATCCATCAATATATAATAATAAGGATAATAGTTTATTGAATTCAATTCGCTCTTTAGGAATATTAGTAGCTTTTTTAATCCTGATAGACAGTACTTTAGGAAATATTCAGCCAGGTATGTAAAAAAAAAATTTTCTTTCTTCAATTTTTTTTTTTTTTTAATTTATTGCAATTCTTAAATAATATTAATAATTTTTAAAAAGTGATCTAGATCTTAAACTTAAAAAACCCAACCTTTAATTTATTTGTATTTTTTGTCTAAATTTTTGGAAAAGTTCAATGTTCTATTACGTTAAGTTTAAATATTTTGAATATATTCTTTAAAAATCTAAAATTTACGAAAAATTCAACCCCACCATTTTTAACTTTATAAAAAGTGAATGAGTTTCATTGCATATGAAAAACCCATTTAAAATTCGAATATTCAAAATTTTTTAGAAATTTGAAATTCATGTTAATTTTCAAGTGTTTTCTATTAATTAAATTGACTAAAATATTAAAAGGTAAAAATATATATATAAAAAAAAAATGTTCATAATATTTTTCAAAATCCTTTATAAATAAATTTTCAGTCAGTTAACAAAATACAACTTTTTTTTTTTTTTGTTTTTTCTTGCCATAATGGAATTGTTTACTTTCTGCTGCATTTTCTGTGTTAAATTCAACACTCAAGATAAGATCCTTTATATTCAGCTTTATAATATATATATATATATATATATATATTTATAATATTATATAAAATTTATATAGAAAAAGTGTATAAATTTTGTTTATTATAAAACCTTATACATACTTTATATTTACAATTAGAACTCTTTTAATTCTATACATTAAATGGTATTACATGCAGCTTTTTATGTAATCCTTGAGATTCTAGATAAAAAATTTTAATATTAAAACCAAATTGCAAAACACAAAAAAAAAAAAAAATATGTATACAATATAGAAAAATGGAAAAATAAGTTAAAAATTAAATCAATAGCTTGTAAAGAGTACATTTCTCATTTTAAATATATTAATAATTAATTATGTATGTTGCACAAATTAAAGGTGATCACAAATTTATTAATTTCATAAATTTAATTTTTTGTTTTAAAATAATCAAATTAAATTTATATATAAAAGAATAACATATTAAAGAATGCGATAAATATTAGTAATGTGACCATCGCAGTTTTAATGTTATTAGTTTTGAAGAGAAAAACAGACTTCTCTAAGATTTCTCATTAAAATTGAAACAATAGGCTAAACTACATATTTAAAAATTTCAAATTACTTGTTCAATATATTCCATGACTTCCAATAATTGTTACGCAAGTCCTGTAGAATTGATACAGTGCTGCTAGTTTTCATTTTTCTGGTTCTGGTATTCTACAAATTTATACCATTCCAAATATAATTTCTTAATCAAATTTCCGAAAAAGAGTTTGATTATCTAATTTATATCGCCATAATAACAAGAAGTATGAATTTAAAACAGAGAATCAATTACAAAATCCTTTAATTTAATAGTTAAACTTTAAAATTTAGAAAAAAAATGCAGAACTTACCAAAATTCTAAATCTAACAGAAATTATATTTCGCGCTAATTTTTTTACTTTTAACTCTTTTGTTTCCAAATAAATTCATTATGTGAACACCGTAAACACTTTTTATTTGAGGGCAACGGCAATATTGTTTTTCAAAATTTTTGCAAAAATGGTAACACGGTTAACAAAGCTAAAGCATATTTATTTAGAACATTATTAATTTTCTCGTTCATTATTTCTCTAGAATATGCTAAAAATGAGAATCGTGCTATTATTAATTTCTCTTCCCATTTTTATGTTATTTATTATTATTTTTGTTTTTGTTGTTGAACTACAAAAAAAAAAAAACATAAAGCAATAGAAACAACACGAAAATGGGGAGAGGAAAAAAAAAAGAAGAGAATATTAAAAACGTTAAAAAGCTAACATACAAGTGTCAATATTCTAAGCAAGCAGAAAAAATATGAAAAGCAATTTAATGCATCAAAAGCATAAAATGATATTCTTTAGTTATTTTTTTGTTTTTCTCTTCTTTTTTTTCTTATTTTGTTTTTCGTCCTTTTATTTTCATTTCTCTTCTTTTTTATATAGCTGGGACACAGAGATACTCAATGAAGAACTTGAAACGGATTCATTTATACTTAAAATTACCTTTCTCTTTTGCTATTTTTAATTATATACAATTTCATATAATATATATATATATATATATTTGAAATATTGATGCTTGTATGTTGGTATGTGTGAGTAAGCAACAAAATAGATAACTATTATTTGATGTCTCCTTGAAGGCATCAACATTTTGTTTTTATTTTTTTTTTTTTTTGAAAATAATATGATCTCCTTTTTTTCTTATTATTATTATTTAACAAATAGCTTAAAGCCAGTTTTCAAGCTCACTTGAATAGAGCACAAAAAAAAAAATAAAAATATGGAAAAATTAGAAAAAAAAAATAAGTGAAAAAATTTTTAAAATCCTTTAATTTTTTTCTTTTATTTTTCTTATTATTTTTTTTTGCCGTTCTTATTACTTTTAACATGAATATAAAGAGTAAAAACAAGAGTTCATATTTTTATCGTCCACTTTTTATCATCATCATTATTATAAAATGAGAAAAATACAAGCCGGTCGGATCTCATAATAATCTTCAAGAGTTTATTTCAATATTATAATGTGTGTTTGTATATGTGTACATACACAAAGTATTATACTATACTATATACATTTTTAAATATATATTTTTTTCCTGATTCAACTAAGAAGCATTGACATCCTTAAAAAATTTAAGAAATTTACAACAAAAAATATAAGAAAATTTGCATTCTTCATACCTGAATTGAAGAAAAAAAAAACGATTTTTTTTTTGTTTTGTCCTTTTAGTCTTTTTAGTAGATGCGGAAGTAAGGATAAGTAAAAATTGAAAAAAAAAAAAAAAAAATTTAAAAGAACATAACAAAACAACAAAAAAAGGACAAGTTTTTTTACGCCCCAAAAATAGATCATCATAATTATAATATTCTTTATAAGTTCTTCATATCCTTGTCTCAAGATGAAATAATTAAGCGAGCACAAACCATGAGAAATCATTAGCTCTAAGAAAGAACATAAAATATAACTGTATATATATATAGTTACATGTAAATGTCATATATATATACATACATCTTGTTGTTGTGTACGAAGAACAGAACCGTATAGGATTAAAAAAAAAAAAAATTTTAAAGCGATTTTAGCAATAACAAGTTAAAAGAATAAGAAAAACGACCAGCAACAAAAAATAAAAATATTGTCAAGCTTGAAAAATTTTTTTTGTTGAGTCTCCCATGCCATTTCACGCTATATTATACATACAGCTTAATGCCATCCTTTTCAAATATATTTTCTGCCCCCCTGAGATGAAAAATTATTTTTTTTTCTTTTTTTATTATTTTCAATTTTTCTTCTTGTTTTTTTAATATATGCATAACAGCAATTTTGACTCTCAACTATGTGTTACGATTTTTTTTTTTTTTATATTGCACTTTATAACCTTTTATAACCTTAAACCACCTCAATTAATATATACATATATGTACATATATATATATATATAGGAAAGGGTGCAGCGTTCTTTTAAGTTTTTGTTATTATTTTTTATGATTGTTTTCTGTTTTTTTGGTTTTTTTTTGTTGCTGTGCCCATAGTAGCATAAAATGCAACCAACTTCATTTTTTATTTTAATTTTTATTTCTTCTTAGTAATTCTTGTTTTTTCGAATTCAATACTAAAAAAATTGTGTTCTCTGGCAAATTTTTAATAAAACACATTGTTCGCAGATATTAACAAAAAAAAAAAAAAACAAGAAAAAAACAACGTGGAAATTAATATGTAAAAATAGTTAAAATTTTAACAAAAGTTGTGGTAAACACAAAAAAAGAAAAAATTTTTAAAGTTTATAATGGCTCTCTTTCTTATCGCAGATTTTTCCACGTAATGTTTGAAACTATGTGTAAAATTAAAATTTCTTGGTACTTTATAAAAGAAAAAATGAAAATTTTTTAATATTCACCATCATATTCTGTACATTTGTGAGGACTAAATCCAATGTCAATATTATTGAAAGGTAAAAAAGTGATATTACAATTTCAATGAGATAAAATTCAACACAGAATACAATATTACGAGATTTTTCAAAATTCAAAACTTATTCAACAATTTATGGAGGTTTTTTATTGTACAGCACAGTTCTCGTTATAGCTATACAATTCCTTTTTAGCACTTTTCCAAAAATTTTTTGAAAAAAGTGCTTATTAGTTTCACTCTGTCCGTCCGTCCGTCCGTCCATCCGTCCGTCCGACCGTCCGTCCGTCCGTCCGTCCGTCCGTCCGTCCGTCCGTCCGTCCGTCCGTCCGTCCGTCCGTCCGTCCGTCCGTCCGTCCGTCCGTGTGTCTGTTTACAAAACTTCTACATTCTTAAAGATAGAAAGCTGAAATTTAATACGTACATAGATCTTTACTAGAAACTTATTTTCGTAAAACAAAATTTTTACCTATCTCCCCCCCCTCTAGAAGTTATACCACCCCAAAGCACTAAAAATAGCCTATTTTAACTATTTGTTGCAATGAAACCATAAGCATTTTTGAAATTTTGCAAACGCAGAAAGGCAGTAGCTTCCTTCCCCTAGCGCAGTATACTATAGCTAAACTTTAGAAAAACAAAATGGCCGTTCAAATTTACCGTTATCTAAAGTCCTTTTTTTCCAAATTTTTGATCTCGTTTTTCTTCTAAACCCCATAATGTAGAACTTTGAAATTTTAGCAGCTTTTAGACATTAATAAATAATTCATTTCGTTAGAAGAAAATTTTTTTCCATCTTCACCCCCTCTCAAGTTATGGCCTCTTGAAATTTGTAAAATTTGCATTTTCGCCGCCTTATATTTCTGAAACCGCAAGCTTTTTCAAATTTCTATAAACGCAAAAAGTTAACGGTAAATTCCATGATATTAAAAAATATAATTATTTTTCTTAACTCATACAATTAAACCTTAAAATCGAGCATTACGTTAACCCCTGCTTATATTAATTTTTGCTTTATTTCAAAGA